GAGGTTTTAGGTTCTTCTCGGCAGCAGAGATATTCTTCAAGGGATAGACTCAATTTGCTTAATTTTCCCCCACTGATTCAGGCTGAGACTCATCTATTTCAAGATTTTGGATTCTGTTGATTAGTCCTAACAATTCAACATACTTCCTTCGATTGGGTTTTTCCAATTTCCCGCCTTTTTTCCGCGCGGTCCCGGGGTCCCTCCTCCTCGACGCCATTTCGTTTTCGCCGCGATGATCTTCTCTCCCTCCCGCCATCTTGGGTGTCTAACTCTCTCTTCTCTCTCCCGCCATCTTGTGTGTCCGGATCTTTCTCCTCCCTCCTGCCATCTTGTGTTCCAGCGTGTTCATTGTCTTTGTCTGTATGTTCAGTATTGGTCTTGGGGAGGCTGACATTCTTGCTCATCATCTGGTGCTGTAGCACCATCAGAACAAGCCTCCACGCTATAAGTGCTTCTTTCGCAATTCGGTCTCCTTTATCACTATCCCGCCAGAGGCTGTAGCCTAAGGCTAGCCATCTCTCCAAACTGGTGTCGTCTGTAATTCTGCAGCCTTGGCGGTCAAGCCACCTGGCGAGTGCTTTTGCAGATTTTTTATCGAGCGGGTGACTGTGCTCGATGACAGAGTCTTTCAGGCGCCGATAAACGAACTTTTGGGAAGTGGAGAGTGTGAGTCCCATGGTGGTGTTATGCGGATCTCAGCACGGTCTCCCGATGTAACGCCTTCCCTTTTGTTAAATTTGGTGGGGTGTAGGTGTTGGGGTAAGGTGTGGAATGTCTTCGACAGCTCACCTGTCCGGTGCGCGACACATGCAGCTTCCTCAAAGCTCACAGCCGTCCGTCCTGTCGAAGAGAGCCGGCGGAGCGATCTCCCCTCCTGGAGTCGCCTGAGTCCAAGTGTTGACACAGGAGTTCTCTTAATATAAGAGACCTCAACTGTGCTCCCATATTGGGCGCCACTTGCCACGGCCCGCAGGGAAAAGGGAGTGGGGACGCGGCACTGCAATCAGGTTCGGGACACAGTTGAGGTGAGGGAAGCAATGCCAACTTTATTAAGGGTTACAGCGACTTAAATAGGGTAGGTTCAGGGGCTGGACTCAGGCTTGGGGAGGAGCAAGAGACGGGCAGCTCAGGGAGAAATACGATAGGATAACAGGGTAAAGGTGGGAGGAGTTCTGGTGTCTCTGGGGAAAGGGGCCAATAGGAGCTACCTCTGCACTGCAGCAAACCACAACCAATCACAGGCAGAGGAGCGGGAAAACAGGGGAGAACAAGGAGATAAACAAGTTTAGGCGGGAAAATGCGGGGAAGAAGGGGAGACAAAATGGAGGACATAAATTTTTAACAATAAACTGGGGTACATGGAACTTCATAACAATACAACAATAAACTGGGGTGAACTGGTGTGCAAGTTTCGAGCTGGCTTCCCGCCAAGCCCCCGAAACTCGACAACAAGGACCCGCTTCCCAGAGAGGGAAGAGAAAAGAAACGACCCAAGCAGCCAAAGCTATAGCAAAAATATATACATATATATATTTTACATATGAGACAGATACACACAACGAGAATACCACACACCACAACTCCAGAAATCCCAAACAGCTCCCCAAAAAGGGAAGAGG